AATGTTATTTATATGGGTAATGAATATGACTTCTTTATGGATAGTATTTTAGTTATCCAGTCAGATAAATTGAAATTCACTCAGTCTGCAGGTTTGCTGCAGCGGGGGTATTTTTTTGTTATATTATGATGTTTCGGTTGTCAAATGACAGGATCCGATAACCTTAAACAAATTCTTTTCATTTAATGATTAATGACGAAAATTATACTATTTCTTTCCTTGGCTAATTGAAGGTCTGCCAAAAGGTAACTGATACTATGCGGGATTCATTTTGACTAGGAAATAAAATATGTAGCCTAGTGCTTCGTACTTTTATATCATTCCTGCAAAAAAATAAACAATTATGGTATTCGACATGTTTATATTGCATTGAATATAAATTGATCAAGTGTGTAGGTAAAGAAATTAAAAATTACCATATTACGGTATTTACCTAAAGAAAAAACTAAATAATTTAAATTGTTTAAATATTTAAATACATTTGAATTGTTAACTTAAATTTCAAAGAAGTTTATTATTTGAATGGTTTGGGTTGGGTTAGAAATTAAAGTAGTTAGTTGTGGTTGTAGATAATCGCTTATGATATTGTGTCTTTTGACCCTTTTGTTTTACTTTGTCTGGTAAAATAAGTAGCCTAGTTTCTTAATTTTATTTTCCCTTATTCGCTTGTTGCTTATTTCTGTTTGTGAACCTCTGTTTAATTGTGTTGTAAAAAATACACATAACCGCTTGAAATGAATTAATACTGACAAAAAGTGATAAACTATTCATCGTTGAGTAGATGGTATAGAGATGAAGTTTGGAACTTTCATAATGAGAACAGCTGAAATTTATCTTGACTCAATCAGCTAATCCAAGTTCAAGGTTGCTAATTTCAACTTATACTGGATCTCTCGCTCATGATTTCCAAACTGACCGGCATGTATTGCACTCTTAGCATGGCCGATGAGTACATGCTGCATGAATGTAATAAACGGATGTAGTTTTCCTATTATTATTCACGGCCTTCAAGAATCGTTGACCCGCTAAATTACAATTCCAACTTACGCCACTTAATGCAAGAAAAGTGTGTCAAATATTAAACTGACCCTTAATGTGTATATTTTAATCCTAATAAATAAAAGATAATTGCGTTTTCTTTATAATAGAAAGTTGGTTATTTTTAAGTCCATTGTTTATGAATTACACCTGCTGTTTTTATTTACGAACGTTTTCTACTTCAAGTATTGGCTGTCTGGGTAGCCAAGTAGTTACAGTCCTGTCTTCAAATCTGAAGGAGGGCATTTAATCCAATGATATATCAGTTTTCAACTTGGATGCCATTTGACCTTGTTCCAATTAATTAATGCTATCTAATTAAAGTATCACGTTACAGTGTAACATGTTCATCTGATGAACATGGTTTGGACAAAACCCTAAAAATATCATTACCGTAGCTTAAAACACAAATTAGTTTAACATAATTTTAGGGACAGATAGTCCGATTGTTCGCGAAGTGTCAGTGGCGCTAGGAGCGAGCGAATGTGTTATATAAGACAGTTATATAAGCAGCACAGTCAAGGTCAATTCTGTTGTCAAGAGATGGACCAAGACAGACGTTGCATCGGCCATCGACTCTTGAAGCTCTGTCAGCCAATATCAGTAATTCGTGAAGATTGGAATAATTTCCAAAAAGTTTCACCATATTTTTGGGATAAAAACCCCTAAAGAAAGACATGGGCCTACAATTCAGATTCGCCATTACCGATTACCTTTGTAGTAGTCAGGTCGTTCAATAACAGTGCAATAATGTAAACAGCTGATTTAGGCTATTACATAACAACATTGGCTTTGTTGACTGAAGTGGACGTCCCATATACAGGGTGTCCGGTCATAAGTGTTAAATAAAATTTTGCATCAAACTACGTGGTAATGGCGACATAATGACGTACATTTGAGGTTCCCAACCTCAACCGTTAGGGAATAACAAATAAATTAAGATTTTTCAAAAAATATTGTAGTTGTTATGAACAAGTTTATATTACTCTGTTAAAAATGCACTAATTGTTAATTTAAATGTCATTTTCAGAATCCTCACAAGATTCTAAATAGGTATAACACATAATCGTTGGGGTACGGAAAAATATTCTATTTAAATTTCTTCGTTAAACAATTATTTTTAATATCGACGAAAATTTAAATAACATTCAGCAATTTATTTCTCGGTTACCGAGTTCCGCTGAGTTAAACAAATATTACTAAAAACTTCCTTATTTAAAGGGCTTTACAATGATGTATAACTACAATTATCTACTGTCAAATCTATGGTGAATTTTACGTACTATTGTGAAAAATCACGGTTAAACCAAAACAGATATTGTAAAAAATAATTAATTTTACTTACTATTTTATGAGCTGACCACTGATGATGAGGGTTTGTGTAATTTATGATTGACCAGACTGCACTTTCATCAAACTAAAGAGGTTTTGTTTAGACTTTGGAAAATTTCTTATTAAAAAAACAATACATTAGTAAAAACACACAATACAAATCAAGTGGGTGTAAAGTGACCTCCGTTTTCCCGCAAGCGTGAATCGCGCCAACTGTGACCTCATACGTCAATTTTTCCCTTACTTTCCCAGCACCCTCAAAGATTCTCTACCGTAACTCAACTTCAGAGTTTACAACAGTTGAGTAAACTAGACTTTACATGTAACCCCAAACAAAAAAAATCTAACGGGCTCAAGTCTGGAGATCGTGGAGGCCATGTCACACTTCCTCCACGTCCAATCCATGTCGGGTAGTTTTGGTATAGCCACAACCGAACTTCCGCGAGTTAATTGAAATCTTATCTGAAATATGAAAAATATACGATAACCGTAACTTTATCACAAACCCATTTTGCTAATGTATGTTTCTTTTCTTAGCTTAATATTTATAAAAAAAGCGTTGCATGCGAGAAAAAAATACAAATTATTCGTTGCCTGCAGTTAAATGTATTATTCTTCACAATAGCTTTTCTTTGCCCTACCATGTTTTTTCACAACAATGATTGAATTACGTTAGGAAATTTGAAACTTGGTAAAAACTATTATACACCATTGTAAAGCCCATTAAATAAGGAAGTTTTTAGTGATATTTGTTAAACTCCACGGATCTCAGTAACCGAGAAATAAATCGCTGAAAGTTATTTAAATTTTCGTCGGTATTAAAAATAATTGTTTAACGAAGAAATTTAAATAGAATATTTTTCCGTACCCCAACGATTATGTGTTATACCTATTTAGAATCTTGTGAGGATTCTGAAAATGACATTTAAATTAACAATTAGTGCATTTTTAGCAGAGTAATATAACCTTTTTCATAACAACTACAATAATTTTTGAAAAATCTTAATTTATTTGTTATTCCCTAACGGTTGAGGTTGGGAACCTCAAATGTGCGTCATTATGTCGCCATTACCATGTAGTTTGATGCGAAATTTTATTTAACACTTATGATCGGACACCCTGTATAAAGAAACCCATTAAAATTCCGACATATTTTAAAACCTAATTCCTTCAAGAAGCCGTCCTGTTTATGACCACATTTTAGAATTAGATACCAGCAATCAATAGTCAATACATTTCCAAATAATTTCTCTTAAAAAAATTCATCTGTAAAATCAAATTATGTTTACACAAACTGTTAATCGCTGGACAATTCAGTGCATTACCAGACTTAAGTGTTGTGCATGTGTTGGACCTGAGCTACAGATTCCCTTAACTCTTTAAATGATTGATTAAACTTTTGGCAAGACTTGTTGATGAACAGGTGCTTGCTTCCTGCTATTGTTTTTTGTTAAATGTTTTACTTATCGTTCTAATATTCTTATGAACAGATTGTAAAATAAATTCTGATAAAAAATAACCAAAACCATTATATAACCACTATTTGTTCAAATTGTATTGCAATATATATATATATATATATATATATGTGTGTGTGTGTGTGTACATATACATTTATAATTTTTGTATATATATAATAAATACAAAAAATACATTTGTACTTATAAAAAAAATATATAATTATATTTAATAGCAGAGAAGTCCCAATTTTTAGGTGCAAAATGAGGCGAATAAGACTGCTTAGTCTAACTATGCCTGGCCTGTACAACTAAAAATCGTAATTTATCAGCTAATAATATTATTTTTGATCTTTTTGAACTTTCTTGTCATTTAATAGGGAATTTCAAATGCTAAGTAAAAGTGTATTTGGCGTTTTTACACAAAATCATAAATTTTTTTAGTTATTTAAGCTCTAAAAGTTAAAATGGCTGCCCTTTTGACACCAATAAAGTTTTTGAAGTGATTACTTTTTATTATATTGATTAAAACTTTTAAAAGTTGTATATCAAACGTCAGAAATATATCTTAAATAGTTTTTGAGATATAAATTAAAACACAAAAAACATTAAACGCAGAATATCCCACTAATGAAGATAAAAAAGTTAAACTTGATTTTTGTTTTATTTGGCCCATTAAACTAGTTTCTGATTCCTGAATTACTTGTACTTACTTACGGGACACCCTGTATACAGGATATTTTGATCTGCTTTGGCAAATTTATTTTATTCATCCTATACTTTTAACATTTGATCAAAACACTTTTTACCTTCCCCTTAGCAGCAAATCTTAGTACTAGTCCATTCCTTCCACCATGGTACATTCATCTATGGTACAAGTTAAATATAATGTTATTCAAATGGGGAATAAATTTGTCTTGTTTCCAGAAATATTTTAGTAAAAATCCAATCAGACAAATTGAAATTCGCTAAGTCTGCCGGTTTTCTGAGGGCATCATGAATAAGTGTTGCTAAAAGTTTAATATATGTGAGATTTTCTTTCAGAATCTAATATGCATAAAATTGCAAAAACTACATCTTATGCACTTGACTTTTTCTTTTCTGATAAACAAAATAATGCCAATGTTTATTAATCATACTGAGTTGTCATCATATGGTTGATACAACAAAATGTTGCTATTAAAAAGTAAATATTTTCAACTATAAGCATAAACATATTCTGCAAAAGTGTAAATTTTGTTATTTTAAATAGTTTTTTGTTCCTCAAATATAATTTAATAAGGTATTGTAATAAAATATTATCTATTTCTGAAACATTATAATAGCCCAAAAGTGATATTATGAGACACAGTTTTGAAATCTCATAATAGTTAACATTAGCGGATGCCTAACTTGTTAGAACTAGCAGTAGGCCTATACTTTATCGCTCTTTATTGATAAATGTCAAAGTTAAACTACAGTTTTGTTATTGAGGCAAATTAGGAAAAATATTATACATTAACTCATTTTTTTATATTGCAGCAATTTAATTTAATTTTGTACTAAATAGTTAGTTAGTCTGCTATCAATCTAGTATTACAGTGGAACCTTGATAACAAGACCCTCAACAACAAGTCACCAATAATAACAAATTTCATTTTTAAATCACCTTGAATTTATTTTACCCCTAATCACATGCCATTGCAATCCTCAATATGTCAACCTTGATAACAAGTCTTATATTTAATAATCTCCATGAGAGTCTTGTTATTGAGGTTCTACTGTATTCTTATATAACTTACTGTCTAGCGTGATGAATAAATTATTTTGCATCATGTTGATTTTAATTTATTTAACTTATCTGGTGATTACTTTTGACCTTAATTATCTTTGACCCATGTAGCAAATGAAAAAGTACAATAGCCTTAATGAATTGTTATGAACTGATCCCTTCAAAAGACATTTTTAAATTTTGACTTTAAAAAAGTTTTATCATTGAGGTTTTTGTTTCCCATTGATTTGTATTCATCTTTCTCCATTATGAAGACATTGTTTCATATCTTTAGTTGATTAAAATTATTTCTTTTCTGAATATTTGCTTTAAACTTAAAAATGTAATTTGTATCTAGCAATTTTTTTACAATTTTCTATTAATCGCTGCTATAAAGAGCATACATAGAGCATGCTATAAATCCTTTGGCATTAATTTGCTTAGCATTATATTTTGATCAATAATTTAAAATATGTAAATGTACAATTTTTCATATAAAATCCTATTGTTTAAACAAATTTTATATCTGTGATTTTTAGATGGTTCGAAAGAATAAGATTAAACGCAAATCTAACCAAAACAGTCACAGATCAAGTGAAAAACAAAAGCGAAAACTGCCAGAAGAGGTAAGCTTTTGTGTATTATGCATTTTTTACAAATACACATTTTTTTCCTAAACATACATTAAGTTATGCTTACAGTATTTGTAATGCTTTTAACCTTACTTTGTTTATATTCTATATTGATAATTTAATCATTTATCACTGCTACACACATAGTGTACAGATGAGTACAGATGAAGCCTATAAAATAAGAAGATTTGATGTAGGATGTTACTAATGACAGTATTTTTTATCTGCTTTATTATAGTTTACACCAACTATTACTGTTCAAATACAATAATAAATTCATAGGTTATTTCATATTAAGTAGTTTTATCACTATTATGTAGGGAAACATGTTACAATTCTTTTTTACAGCATTTCTTGTTGATATTGTTAGCATGTGCTGATAGGCCATAATTGTAGGTTCAAGAATGCAACCGCTTTCTTTTACATTGAAGTCACCACTGGCTTCTCCATATGACTTATACCATACCAAACAATTTATGTTCCCTTTAACAGGAAAGTACCGATTATAATACTATCAGGCTGCTAACCTTTAAATTTCATAGAATAAGAGCTGTTCTTAAGATATCTTTATTCAATTTAAATTGAATGTTTTTCAAATAAAAGAAATTAAATAATATTCATATTTTATTTGAATTTTGACCTAAAGAACGAACTAAGACTGAAATCTAATCCTAATGAGAATCTGATTTACCATATATCAGGACGTTAGAGAATATACGTTGTAAGAAAGCCCATATTGTTCGTACTGTAAACACCTGCACAAGGACTAACCTTCCTCGCCATTCCATTCCTATACCACCCCTCCCATTCAATCAACAACAAAAGTAGTAAAACAAAATGTTGAGTCATAACAATATTTCTCACAGATATTCTTACAGATATTTTCCTGTCCATTAATTCAAATTATTTAAAAAAATTCCTAAGAAAAAGATGTCCCACCTCTGCTCTGCTCGCCTACCTCATGCTTAGCCCTGTGAAACATAATTTTACTACGTAGAAATGTTTAGGATTGTTAATACTCACAGTACTGTGAAAGAGTGTTATTGTTGATTGAAACAATATGTGCTGACTGGCAAAATCTACGTCACTATTACATTTTACTGTACTAAAAGCTAAAAAAATACCCATTTTCTAAAAATTAAATGTATAAAGGTGTTAACGGTACTTGTAAGAAAGCCCATCTTGTTCGTACCATAAACACCTGCTTCTCAGCCTTATAATATACTATTGTATCTACCATAATACACTATACCTAACCAGTACTAATTAATATACTAATTTACAGTGAGAATTTATTTATTTTTTAGCAAACCCATAGTCCAAATAAACGGAGAATCTCAGAAAGATACAATCTTCGCTCGTCCAACTCAGTGATATTTGTTGGTGAGATCCCTTGCTGCAGAACACCAGAGCAACAGAAGAAATACACAAAGTTGGGGCTCAACTCTGCTTTGTAAGTCTAGTTGGGACTTTACTTTTTACATTTTATAAGATTAAGACTCTAAAGATACTCTTCAGCCTTGTTAGCCCTGATTAAAAATCAGATAAACTTCTGGTATCATAATCTTAGTTTCTACCTCGTAGCCATCCATACTCCACTATACTCTGTTCACAGATTTTGGGCAGTTTTAGGGGAAGAAATCTATCCCCTCCATTTGAACCTACCTTTCAAAATAATAGCTCAACCCACTCAAACCGCCTAAATTATGTGTTGGAGTATAGCTGTTGAGACCATCTTACAACAGTTGTTGTTGACTTTGGAATCCCTTTCATAGACAATTAACAAAGTTATATAGCCTGAATGGGTATAAATAGGAAAATTATCCTGAATAAAATAAACAGCACATTTTAATTATTTAAATTTATCAATTATATATTAATAAAATATATATTAATTCATTCAATCCATAAGTGCTTGTAAGGGATTTGAATTTCAATTCAAAGAATCATCATTTTACTGTTTTTCTAGATTCTTGAATAGTTCTTCACCTCCTAAACGTAAACAGTCCCACATTTCAATCATAACTGTATCATCAGAAGATGAAGTAACGAGTGAGGAATTTACATCAGAATGGGTAAAAAACTTGAATGAAAATCATAATCAAAGTGAAGAAAATGAACACTTAGATGCTATTAATAATCATCAGAAAACAGATGAAGACGGAGAGGAAGATGAACAATTAAACACTACTCAAAACCAATGTGAAGAAAATAAACTCTTGAATGTTACTGAAAGTGATCAGCAAGATGAAGAAAGCAGACATGTCGGTGGTAGTGAAAATCATCAGCACAGCGAAAGGGATGAAACTTATGTAACTCAAAGTTTTCAGAGCAGTAAAGAAGCTGAAAGTTTGGGTTGTAATGCAAACTTAGTGAAGGAGCAAACTTTTCATCCAATGTGTTCAAGTACCCCTAACACTTCTGTTAGTTTTCACACTACTTTACATTGTCAAACTGACAAATGGAACAACCCGATACAATCAGATCCTTGTACTCTGAATTTAGCAGAAAATACTGGATACGACAAACAGGATGATACGAATAAGTCACATGATGCCTGTTTGGTTGGAGCCTCCCAGGAATCTAAAAGTTATTTTCAAGATCAGTTACGAACAGCCAAAATATCAACGTTTGTACCACCTTCACCTTCAACCTCAACTTATATATATCCATCAATGCATCTACAAAATGAATCAAGGATATCTGCTTCTCAAAGTTTAGATCCTAGATCTAGATACATTGGATCTTGCAACAACTCAACAAAGAACAATGACAAAAATATGCCATCAAATTTTTATTTTGGTTCTTTATCAGGCCAAAACGTAACCAACCCCCTTGTATCTCCATTTGAGTCCTTCCTACATGATAGTATGAATCAACCAAACACATCTGGTACGTTTAAACTTCCTTCAGCGATTTCAAGTGAACAGCAGAGGCGAAATGAGGTCGCCACAACCAACAGGAATATTGAAAAAGAATCAGACAATAGTAATCCTGTAAACGTGTTACAAGACTGATGAAATGTTGTTGTGATATATAACAAATTAATTTATGTAAAAATTCACTGTACAAATAAAAAATTTTTTCCAAAAAAATCCCGTAGACTGGGTTTGTACCCATAGTAAATATTATTTTTCAAAAGTGAGTGTGATGTTTAAGTTTGTTGTATTTCATCTTCAGAGAAAAAAAATCATCAAGTCTCTACAAACGTTACCTGCCACTGGGAACATTGTTGGTTTGCGCCTTACATAACAGCTTTTATCTATAGAAAACTGTTTTAAAAACCTTTTAATTTCCGCACATATTTTGTTCATCAAATTTGCAGCTTTTCAAAAATGAATATAAGAGCCACCTTTTTCATGTTCTATTTACAGCACATGTACATATATGTACATGTGCATACAGTGATCATGTATGCAGGTCTAAGGGGAAAGTAAGGTGTGCATTGTTACGCTTAGACAGTTTCTATCTAATTTCTACACTATCTTCCACATCTCTCACACTGTTACTCATCATCTAGCCATAAAACTGTACTATTTCATTATATGTGAAGTACTAGCCGTTACCCTCGGGCTTCGTCCACTTGGACTTCATAAGTACAATTAGTGCAACTATTGATTGCCGTACCAGGTTTGGTAGCATTTTGAGTGGCTTTTCATGGTTACTTCGAAGATCAACATTGGACACATTAAGCTGTCAGGCCAAAGCCATAGGAAAGTATTAAAATAAAAGATGACTATCTCCATTAAGCCTGTGGTTATATTGGCTCTATTCGTGAAAAAAATCTGCTCAATTGGTCAAGTAGTTTTCACGTTATTGACATACTCTAAACACTCATCTATATATATAAAAGGCAAAGCCCTCACTGACTGACTCACTCACTCATCACTAATTCTCCCACTTCCCATTTACCTAGGAGGCTGAAATTTGGTACACTGATTCTTTAGGCATTAAATAGAAAAACTAAGTTGTTTTTATTCTAATCGGACTCTCGGACTCCGCGCCAGTGGCTCTGGAGTTTCCCATGTTAACCTTATGAGTACTCATATCGTAGCGAACGAACTTCAACCTGGAGGTGAGTTAGCGTAGCGAAGGAACTTCAACCAGGACGTGATTGAGCCATGCGAACGAGCTCACTTATGAAGTAAAACGGGACAAAGCCCGTGGGTACAGCTAGTTATTGACATACTCTAAACACTCATATATATATATATATATATAATATTGCTGCACCCTGTTGGTAAATCTTGTAACTTTATAATGCTATTGAACCTCATAAAACCAACATGTTTAATTGAAACAGCTGATAAGATAATGAATTCTTTTAAAAATGAAAAATCCTAAGGTTAACATGGGAAACTCCAGAGTCACTGGGGCAGGGCCCAAAAGTCAGATCACAATAAAAATTACTTAGTTTTCCTATTTAATGCCAAAAAAAATCAATGTACCAAATGTCAGTCTTCTAGGTAAATGGGAAGTAGGAGAATTATTGATGAGTGAGTCAATAAGTGAGGGCTTTGCATTTTATAGGTATAAGATGATACCATTTGATTACAACTTCAGCTAGAAAAGGCCCACCATTTACAGATATTTACTCCACAAAATAACTGTTATCCACAGTAAATACATTGAACATATTTTATAGGAATTCTCTTATACCATCTTTTTTCTAATACACATAACTATTATTTGTCAAGTGAATTTCTTTTCGATATCAATGATGCCAAAAACCTAGACGTGTCTGACTTTTTAGAACTTTTTGGTGGTTCAATAAAAGTTGTGTATGGTGAATGCCACAAAAACTGACTACTTGTGCTTATACGATAAAATAAAATGTGTGTTTATAGCTATATTATTAAATTCAGCTTTTACTACAATTTTGGGCTATAGTTATTTGTGCAAGTAGTGAGCAAAGTGAGCAATTGCCTCACTCGAGAGAAATCCTTAGGAATGGTTTCTTGAGTGAGGCGATTGCACTTTGCACTCGAGTTGCACATTATATTTTTCCTACAGTTACCATAAAACAAACAAATTGGTAAAGAAACGTGCCTTCATGTTGCAAATGTGGAGTGAGACAAAGTAATTAGAGTGAATATGAGCGAATTGGCCACTTTGCTTTCTCAAATCAATGGGCCGAGTGAATAAAAACAAGTACAGCAAGTAATTACTTGCGAGTAAATACTTGCAAGTATTCATCCCTCCAAGTAAACTCTTGTGAATAAAAGTGACTCTTTACTTGCAAGTAAATACTTCCTAAATGAGAGGGTATACTCACTGATCTGAGGGTATACTTGCAAGTATTTACTACTTTCAAAGTAAACTTTATACGAGGTACAAGTAAATACTTGTAGCTTATTTCTCATAAACAAATTTACCTTTCTCTACTATTCTGGTATCCCTATGTGCTCTTACTTGTATATATTTACATGTTACTAGTGAACAGCACTGCTGTAGTATGTATACAACTAAAACAGCTAATTTTACATACATTCATTGCAAGGGCGGTTCTAGACCTATATTTTTTTGGGGGGAAGGTTGCCGAGGGGTCCGGAGGTCCTCCCATGGAAGAATTTTAACAATATGTGCTTAAATGAGAGAATTTAAGCTATTTTGAGGCATACAAAAATTAATTATCCTAGTTTGATGTAGAAGAGTCCCATATTATTATTGAAGGTCGAAGAATTTGGTTTAAAAAGTGTAACATGTAATGTTTTTTTTTTATTATTATTGAGACTTGTGGTTTTTCATTAACACGTAGCTTGAACAACGAATGAATACCGCAAAAAATACAATTCAGTACATTTAGTTTAAAAAAAAAAAAATTTTTGTATTTAATTAATATTTTTGGACTCTTGCATTAAGGGTTCCAACTTTTCCTCAAGTATTTATTTTGCAAAAACACTTGAGTCATACATCATTATAAATAAATGTATTGAATGTATTACATGCATTTTCAACAAGTAAACTCAAACAAGCATGGGTTACTTATAACTTGTTAAAAAACAAGTATTTACTCTTTAGACAAGTATTTACTCGTGGTTATTCACACCAAATTGTTAGGTTTCTGAGGGTATACTTCCTTGGCAAGGCTTTACTTACAAGTAAAAGTAAATACTCGTGGTTATTCACTTCTGCCCAAGTAAATACTCAAATTATGAAAATTCAAGACAAGTAAACTCTTTTACTTGTTTTTATTCACTCTGCCCAGTGAGAGAACATTTACATTGTTAGATAACTGTAGGAAAAAATATATTTACCTCTAGCTAGTAATACATTATTTAAATAGTTATGGGTATTTATGTGTGTACTGTACATAGCACTACAAAAATTGTAAAATCCATGCACCAGTACTCATTCCCAGCCATTGTTTAGAAAAACCCATAAAGCAACCAAATTTTAAAGAGAAATAGTACTACTGGTACATACAGTACAGTTCTGCTGGTGGAACTGGTTGTAAGTTGACTAAAGCTAGGTTATTTAGGGTATTTTAATTTTTTTATTGTTCATATTTGAGTTGGTTTGTCTCTCGATCACTGAACAAACTATTAAAGGTTTAAAATTACCTGAGTAGGAGGATCACTCTAGAAGTACTCAGGTAACTTTAAACCTTTTATATTTTTTATTGCTGTTTAGTTTAAAATTGTTATTAGTTAAAGGAAAAAATCAAGCAATAAATACTTTTGAAATTCATAATCCTTGTCAAAACACAACATTTACTCGGCAAACCATAGAAAGTAAAAATACAAACAAATTACATTATTAGCCATAATTTAACAATAAAGTGAATGATACTATTAATAATATAGGCCTAATTATTTACTAAGCCATTAACTTAACAACTAAAAAGGAAATATGATTAATAATCAATTAGAGCAATATAGTTCAGTACAGTAGGAAATGTGTCAAAAAGTGTGCAACACTTATAAAATATCTTTTTTTTTAAGACATTCAAATAATGTCAAATATTGTAGTGAACTAAACTAACTAAATGACGTTCCTAGCTGTTATCTTATGAGGCAGGAACATGTCGGTGAGAAAAGTTTGAGAGCAGGCTGTAAGGTTTTCTATCTCACTCTTTCTGCCATTTTCCAACAACCAGTTAACCTATAACAGGGAAAAGAAAAAAATGCATCAACAATTAATTAATACTTTACAAGTGATTTGGTTTTATTTTAAATCATTTAGTTCACTGCTCACAGCTGTTCCGACAAAAGAAGCTGTTATGCATTTTTGCATACAAGTGGGGCCACACTCCTGTGTTATAAAGACCATTTTAAAAAATCTTAACATTCTCAACATCCTGCCTATCACCGATGGATTTTATCCAAGTAGTATTGTTGCCACTCTCTAGGCCTAGCCTAAAATAATGTAAAAATGGTTCTAGTCTAGAGCTGAGCACCCTGGGACCATGAACAAAAATTCTCAATAAATATTGGGGCTGTTAAAACTTGTCTTAAAATTAAGGACTCACAGTCCTTATTGATTATCAACTTTCAAAAAAACCTTCATTTGTGTGTAAATTAATTCTCCTACCTTTATGTTACTTGTAATCTGTATGATTGAAGCCTCTTATAACAGGGGTAGGTTATTTAAATTTAACAATATGCTCAACCGTCTACCTAAGAAACTATTTTTAATGCAAAATATGTTTTAATTTTAAAGTTCAAACAAAAGTACCAGATGAGTACTTCAAGAGACCCATACGACCACTTCAAGGCTTGCCTTGAACAAGGTCTTCTACATGTAAAAAGAAAGTTAATCTGTACTAGAAAGAGAAGGGATGTCTGTGGTTTCCGACCGACTGACTTCCTCTGAACCCACGAGACTCTAGCCTTGCTACGTGATCCAGAACGGAACAAGACACCACCCAGAACGACTCTACTGCCACTGACACCACAAACAGTGGCACACCCAGAGGACATAAGTTGAATGTTGGAGATGGTTTTCAATTAACTGCAGTATGATATACCTAGATCCCACCTGTTCTAAGAGCTGTTCGTCTTGTACGATGTACGGTCGACGGCTGAGCTCCCTGGCTTTGGCAAAGTCCAGGCTCGTTAGAGGCACAGTTGGTATTGCCAAGCGTTGAATATCAGTTGGATGAAGTCCGACCCAACGCAGTTCTGGTGCAGCTAGCTCCGCCGAGTGTTGGATCATGGTCTGGTAAATGAACAAAATTGAAATTGTGAACTGTATACCACTATATTACAACGTAAGTTTTGCATTTGACTTTTAGTCTATACTATTATATAAAAATCTAATGGTGTCTGTATGTGTATTACTAATAGGTGCAAAAACTACTGAACCAACTGGGCTTAAATTTTACAAAAATATAGTTACCATACCAAGGACCATTATAGGACTATTCACACTTCCATACTGACCATGGGCTTTGCCCCTTTGGCTTTAAAGGTTCTGAGGTGAGGATTTTAAAAGTAAATATTGATTGGTCTCCATGGCTGCAATGAGAATAGGTACTCACAATGTTTACATTTACTTTGACATTTCAATGTAAACAAGAAGAACTGCCAAATTGCATATTTCACATTTTAAGACAGCTGATCCAATGAAATTTAATATGATATTTCATACAATTATGTGGTTGGTTTATTTAATCTAAAAACTTATCTAAGATCATTTATTCAAAAACTATGTCAATGATTATAGAAATAACAAAATATTCTAAACGCATTGCTGCATCACCTCAGGCTCTACTTTTGATTTTAAGGTGTCTTAAGTGTTATGAAAATAATGTTATTGATATTTTTTCATGGAAACAATAAGAAAATAACAATGTATAGATGTTTTATATGCATTTGGAGTCTACTTTAAGTAAATTCGAACTGCTTAACATGTGTAAGGTTAACTTAACATAACTTTCACATCACATTGTTTTTTTTATATGTATATTTAGGTAAATTTAGTTATTGTGTTTTGCTACTATACCAATGCTTAAATTAAACTAAAGAATATCATCAATAACTAAATTGTATATCGTTGATTTAAATACTATTATTTTATCTTAACATAGTTTTCAGTTCACATTTACTTTATTTGATAAATTTATTATTTGTGTTTTGTCACATCACTGATTAAATTAAATGAAAGGAAAATATAATAAAACTAAGCAGTACACAGTGTTCATTTGTTTCTAAAATCAATGAAATATCTGTTACCATGTTTACTTAATGGTAAGTGTGAAAATGTAAAGGCAATAGACGATGGAACTGATTAAAAGAACTGGTATGATATTAAGTTGTTTGTTGATATTTTTGTAGAGTAGAATCAGAGATGCAATGAAACATATACTGTATTCGCTATTACATTTTTTTGTCCTTGGTCCTTGATGCTTTGACAATCATATTAGTTTTGTCTGCTGTCGTTAATACTAAAATTATTTGTTTAACATTTTTTATAGTACAGATATAGTTTTTTTAATATTTCAAAAGACTATTGATAAGGCACAATAATATTTCTAAAGATTATAACAGCTGACTTTGTTTTGCTAATGATTTATTGTGAGTGAAGAAACTGAAGATGGAAGGATTTGTTATATAATATGAAAAAGAGTGAAATTTAAAAAATGTTCATTTAAATTAAAAAATTAGTGTTTTTGCAACTTCAAAATAGAAATTTAAAATTTCAAAAACAAAGAAAAAAGGTATGCAACAAAGGGAGATGAAGGTAAATCATGTATGTGAAAGTTTTATTCGAAGATATGGTAAGTTTTTCTCATATCAGCCCACACAAGATTTAAAATTAATCAAGCCCAAAATGGTGGTATCCACTACTTACCAGATTTAAAAATGATAACTTAAACGTTTCTATTAAGGCCATAAAAGTTGAATTTTGTTTCTAAAAGCATTGGTGGATGTGTAACTTTATTATATGCAACAGATGTAAAGATAAAAATGTTTCTTTTTTGTGTCCTCTTCCCGTTGCAAAGCACGGGTACAACAGCTAGTTATTTGAATAAAACCTGAAGAACTTGTGCACTATAACATAATATTGACCATTTCATAAAATACTAATGGGGATAACACACAAAAAATTGAATTGAACAGCCAAAAGTGGTTTATTGAAATTTTGGCTCATTAAACTTGGAAACTAGAGCATGAAGCTTCACCTTAGATGCTAGCTTCTAAGCAACTAGGCAAAACAAAGGTGCCTGTTAAAAGTTACACCAACTGCTTGCTTATTTTAATTTTATGTTAGTTATAAGGAAATACGATCCTTCCTCATTTTTCACTTTTTATTTTTCTATTTAATGTTTTTGGGTGTGTTGGTTGAAAAAAAAAACAATTAAAACAGTTGATCCTATACAGACATACGTCATTAGAATTATAAATTTTGCTTACATAACAAAGTCCACTACCGTATTATTATTTTAACAGAAGTTAAATAGACTGCAAAACAATATGTTTTAGATAGATGGCATTAACCAAAGATTACTCTTAGAGTATACTAATGATTTTTCCCGAGCAAAGCTAGGTCCCCAGGTACTACTTCATAAAATAATCCTTGAATGTGTCATACACAATAATAACAACAATGTTTATTTATTGTTTCAACATATAACTTTTAGAAAAAATATAGAATATATTTCAATAACATTTTTTGGTTCTTTGTCGTATTACATATAGGCTACAAAGAAAAACAATCCATACAGGGTTTGCCTGCTTCTCAATACTGCAAAATGCAAACTGGTAATCTTTAGAAATCCCAATTCATTACATTATGGGTTTGTAAAATAGACATTTCATTTCAGACAATCCACTTGCTTTGACTAAAGGTAGGACTATACATTCCACTCCCTTCTTCAAGTTGTAGCCAGTTTTAGACCAACAATGGAGGTAGTTGAAATGAGCCACAAACAACGCACACAGACGTAAACTATTTAAATCATGTTAGCATTACAACCAAACCAAACTGAAAGGACAACTTGCTGTAAACAGTATAAACTAGGAGTACACTCCGAAGTCGCGTATGAGAATGAACGAAGACAATTCCATGTAGGCTACCATAATATATAATCTGTCTTCAGTCTTTGGTGCCCCTTAACCCTGCCTCTGCGGCCCGCCGCAAGTTCGTGCGGCGAAAGTGGCAGGCAGTGGCAGTGATGACCAGCGTTGCCAACACAACTTGCTCATTTTACCCGCAAAATCCGGTGGTAATCCCCGGAATTAGCCGGAATCAAGTCTTGATTACCCACAAAATCCCTTGAATTCAAATTTTAAAGATTTCGGCAAACGTTTTGGTAAAAACCTCGTTGTAACCACGTTGTTACGGTGCATTGAGAGAATTATTAATATTTATACCATTCTTTCTTATATTCAGCAAACCGTTCATCATTCATTTCAAGTTTTTTTAAGGCTACCTTTTTTAACTGAAGTCAAATGAAATGTAATGAAATGTCTATTTATGTAGGTAACTATTTATGCAAATATTTTTATCTTTCTGAAAGAGAGGTAGGCTACCGGAACTCCGTTTCACTGCATTCCCCCCAAAATCGAGCACTGAATAACAATAAGACTTTATCCCATATATCAACCATAAAAGTTTTAAAAAAACATAAAATTTACAAGATTTTAAACCTTATGTGATGGCCCTTGGCCCTATCATAAATTGAATTAATAATGTTAATTATAAAAGCTAGAGCAAGAGTACCCTAGGTCTATCGCGAATGGCAATTTGAGTACTGTGGTTAATTCAGAATTCTTATGAATAATATTCAATAGTTTGATGCCATAAAATGGTGTTAGTAACCCTTATGGGAAAGTGGACTGGTCCCAGATCTGGATTCTATATCTGGCCAGATCTGGGATGACATATCTGGACATATTCCAGATCTGGCACCCATATCTAACCAGATATGGAATTAGTTCAGATCTGGCATCACAGATCTGACCAGATATGGAATATGAAATTGGTAAAATTTGTGTTTTAAGAGACAAACTAACATTTTATGTTATTCACACTTTATTCTCATATAAAATCCAAGCCTAAAAAAGATAGTAACCATTGAAAGAGAAAATGAAAAAAACTTTAACTAAATTAACGCATGAGTAAAAAAAATAGTTTTAATTTGTAGAGTGTTGTTTATTGTAGGCCTTTCACAATCAATGTTGTTTTTGTGTCATATGGTTGCCAACCATTTGTTTTAGCATAAGTAAAGGACCATTAAAAAAAGTATTAAAGTACTTATGATAGATAGGCCTATGAGATCAATAAATGATTAAATCTGTAGGAACTGTTGTAGTCAGTCGAATTTCGTTTGGTAAAAGTTCTACCGAGCAAGACAATTTTTGGGAAATGTTATCTTACAATTACGAGACCTAGATTCTCGTATTCGTAATGGCTTTCGTTACAATACGTGATTAGAAGTGGCCGTGGTGTAGTGGCTAAGTGATCGGAGTTCAATGCTGGAGTCCCTGGTTCAAATCCCGGTCGGGCATGTTCGAAACTTTTACTAACAACTTTTTCACTTTTTAATTTTTATTGAAATTTTAATGCATAGTTCATTAGGTTTTAATGTTAAAACATCTTATATTCTTTTTTATTTTATAAAAATAATTTTCTTTATAAGTAATCTGGAACTCCTTCTTAAGGGAAGATGCAAAACAATGTTAGGCCTACTATTTAAAATGCATAACAATGTTATTATTTAAGTATTTTAACCTGTAGAACCATGTTACCAGAAGAATAGAAGCCTGTATATAGAAACAAATAAAGTACTGTAGGCCTACCTATGGAAATTGAATTTAAGGTAAAAATAACAAGATTAATATTTCAATTTGTTTTATTTGCAAGCATTTTTTATATTGTTATTTCATTGTATTTCAACCACTATTTCAATTGTGCAAAGACAGTCTGGAGGTAGCATAAATTAATGAGCCGGTTCGTTATAACCCAAACTTTACCTTCCTAATCAAACCTAACTTCAAAACACTTAATACAGTCACAAATTCACATAAAATCCAACCTACCTTCCCCACATGCCTAACTAAGAGCTGATTTTTTAGTTTCAAAACAAATTGATTTAATTCTGCATTGCTCACTCAGTCCTCAGCCCACATTCGAACCCGTCCAGACCACGCCATATTACCATACGAACCGCGAAATGAACCTTACATTCGTAATTTTAGCCTTCGTTTTACATCCACTTAGGGATCTTTCCGACAAAAACGGATTGCATTTTTGGAATCAGCGTGAAAAATACTGTAAGGAAACATCTAAAAATTACATCATTTCTCAATGTAGACATACTAAATAATTGCCAAATATTTTATCTGATGAGTAAGTTAAATACATTTAATCTTAACAATGCATATCAATATTTATCCGATTCAATTTTTCGATTAAAAAAATTCTTTTTTTCCAACGTATGTTGCTAAACATCAAATTGATTTATGGTTGGTACGGTTTTTGTTCATACCTATTTAAGAAATTAGGCTAAACTACTGTCTAGGACTAACTTACAATTGACCAAAAATAAATAATAAGTTAGGCCTATTAAAAAGAAAGGGTACAGTTTCATATCTTTGGCACAAACAACCGAATGAGTAATATTAATTATTCGATTGTTTAATTCGATATATCGATCGATATTACTCATTTGGTTGTTTGTGCCAACAGATATGGAAGTGTACCCAAAAGAAACAAAACAAATAGGCCTAGGCCTACCTAATAGCAAAACAACCAAGGATAAAACAATAAAATACTTCTTTAATGTTTGGTTACCTCGGTAGGTGTACCTATGGCTCTTTGAAGTGGGATTTTTTAAACGTTATTTTTTTATTTATATCATATGGTAAATGTATGATGAACTTAAATTCAATAGGCCTAGGCCTACGATATTAAGTTAAGTTAAAATCAAACCGATAAGTAGTTATTCATTTGAAAAAATAATTAAGTTATTGTTGGTTCTCTGCGGAACTGTAACTTACCCAGTAGGTAACATAGGTAAGAAAAATAGCCTAATTTTTTATAAACTCATGAAAAAGATCAAAGTTAACTTACCGTAGCCTAACTTATGTAGGCTATTTAAAAATTTATCTCTTTAACAAATCATACACAAAAGATTTATGTTGATTTTTAGAAATGTTACCTTTGTTATTAGGACTATTATAAACTAAAAAGTAGGCTACACAGTGTAAAGAGTCTCCTTAAAAAAAGATCTTAGGCATAAATTGTTCAATGTTGAAATAGGCCTTGGCCTACATGATAAATAGGTACGGTAAGTTGTATCGCCAAAAAGTGAACCGATTACGATAAGTTATCGAATAGGGTATATTAAGTTAAACAAAAATATTTCATCTGATAAATTAACGTAGGCTAGGTTCTCTGCGAAACTGTTCCCCTGAAGATGGGTAACTTAATCTAAGTAGGCCTACTATAAGGACACAGATATAGTAGCTAAAAGAAAGTGATATGATACATTACTTTTTTAGGTCTATTTAGGTAAGTTAGGGTTATATTAAGGCCTACCTTTCTTAGTTTAAACTTTCTACCGTAGGCCTACATTCTTTGACGGTGAAAAACACATTATACACGAATGTTGTATGAACAAATAAACATAAGTACTGTGACATCATTAGACACAGATTTTTAACAAAACACTTGACAGGCCATACCTAGGCTAGGCAACACGGCCGTCTAGGCAATTAATGTAACAGACACACTTTACACAAAACAACTTTACATGACACAGCACTTCGTCGCTTCACCGCCTTCCTTCAAAAGTTTATACTGTTTAGGCTATATTTTGAAGTTAAGATTATCTACCTCAGCATTCTGATTGTCTGTCTCACCATTCTTCCACTGCCTTTGGTACAATCAATGAAGACCTGTGAGCCCAATTTTATGTCTGCTCGTACCGTACGTCTTGATCTTCACTTTTCGGTTATCTGCGTAGTCCTTTTGTTATGGGCCCTTAGCAGCATTATTATAAGTGGGCTAAGTTAGCTCTTTGAAGCAGTAGGTTCCCACTTATTGACCTACAGTATTTAGTGTTCAATACTTGATGAAGGGTCCATAAGCTCAGTTGACACATAGTGAGAGTTCAATATTAAACTCACTAAAATTTATCACTTATTCTGACCAAAGTCGGGAAAGCTCCTTCCTATTGCCTAGTCTTGTGTCCATTGGCTAAGTTTCATCCGCTCTTCGTCAGAACTGAGTCTACTTGTTCTAGGTTAACCTTAACTTAATGAATGAGGTTTGAGTTGAATCTAAAATGCAGTTTGATTGCATTACTTACCTACGTAATTTAAATACATAGGATTATATTCACAAACTTTTAAAACCTACTTAGGTTGCCGTCTTATTATCAATAGCAGAAATAATGCACTAAACCTTGAGGAGGATGTTCTAAGACTAAACTTAACTTAAGGCAAGGCAGCATTTCTGATTCTAAGCGAGTGAACTGCAGACGGAGACGACTGATAAAAAAAAGATATATTAAATGAAAAAAAAACCTTATTTGATAAAAAAAAGTCTTAGTACTTATGTTATATCATTATACAGTAATATGAAAGTACAGTGACTTATCTAAATATTTTGGGGCAACATTTGAATGACTGACTGAATAGATAAAGCCACCGATGCGAGGCCTTACTGAAATTTAATTAAGAACAACCAGAACGAAAATAACTAAAACCATTGATTATTAGATAGTGAAATCTTATCTAATATTAATTAGTCAAAGATTCCACTTAACTTTTAGCAAGTTAGGAAACAATAAGTTAGTAGACTTTCACCCACGGCATCGTTTACCGTCGCGTCGTACTTATTATATAGTATTGCCTACTGAAGAAACGTAGCTTGTAGAATAAACAAGTAAATATTTATTTTCCAATCAATTGCGATACATTTTAGTAGATAATTTGTTAACTCCTGCCACATTTTCGTAAATACATTATTATCCTAGAAATTGTAGAGTTATAATGTGAATACGGTTTGACTGTTACTCTATGGATGAAAGAGTAGTCGTTCTCTTTGTCTCAAGTAAACGACAAAATTGTAGGTCGTAAAATGTAAACAAATAAAAAGAAGAAGAAGGTAGCTCATAATGTTAATCTTATGGGACAAAATTAAAAATGTTTTTTTAAGATTTTATAATAATTACGGAATAAATATTTTTAAACAACTAATGGTCGCAAGATAAAGTGGTATAGAATCTTTGTGCAACACATCAAGTTTATAACTTTAGGCATTCTCGAGATTTCGATCAACATAAAGATGCATTTCACACCAGTATGAGAATTCACTTCGTTCATTCAATTAATCTTTTATGTCACACAAACTATCATGGTACCGTAACAACAACTTATTGATACAGTAATATGATTTCAGGGTGTGGCGCAATAATTCAGTGGCTCATTCAACTATTCTATTTGCATTTTTTAAATGCCTAAGCCTACAGCTATAAGTTAATAATTAGTTGTTGCCAACTTACCAATGATCCAAAACGGTAAGTGCACATGATCTCAATACCGTAAGGGTCTGCATCTACCAAAATCAACCCTGGGATTGCCAGTTCCCGACTGAGTCGGCAGACAAACAATCTTGTGTTGATATCAGGCTCTCCTTTGCCCTGGGGTAAACATTTGATAGTAAAATTTGTGTTTTTTCTTATTCAAATAAAAAAAATTAAGGAGGAAGGAGATCAATATACCCTAAATAAATTATGAAATAATATACCGTAAAACCGTCTTGACCCGGACACCCATGCGTACTGATTTCAAAATCGTCACTACAAACTCACCTGATGAGATAAACAAACACAAGATTGCGTTGTTAGAATTACCACAACATAACCTAAACAGCTGAGTGGGCATTGTAGGGCTGTTTGTATTATTTCGTTCATCAGTAATAGGTTTACCAACTGCTCACTTTTTGCAAAAGAATAATCTTTGTCTGACTAAGGTCAAAGAAGTCTACAATATAAGGGTTAACAACCCTAAACCATCGACCAGTGACCAACGTACCAGTACTGCAAAGGATATTGAACCGGAAAAAATTTATTTAATTATTGCATCTTACGTGATTGCAGCCATAACACCTAAATATTTTGCCATCGCAGCTATGCAAACGTCAATTGTGATCGTGACCATTTCAGTGTCTGTACATTATAATTATTATACCCGCTTATTTAAATTTCCAGCTAATCTGAACAGGGTTCAGTCCCACTTAGTTTGGAATAGCGAGTCTCTACGGTCAAAGTGAAAAAAGTCAAACGGGTCCTGAAAAAATTCCTCTCAAGACCAAAGACATTTTAGCCCTTTATACTTCCAGTGAAGAATAGGAGGTAACATTAATAGTTAATCAATACTATTGAAGGAGATATTTGGAAATAAATTACTTACTGTGATAATAATGCAGGGTCCTAACCTCACATGAGCACCATCATCCAACAGCTTTTGAAAAGCAGCATCTTTTTCAACGATAAGAATGAATTTGGCAGAGGATTTAATCTTTAATATTCCATTCACGTCTTGTGGCACCAATACTCCTAAGAAACAATTAACTTATAATGTTAGAAAATAAAACAACTGTAAAATATTAACAACCATATATCTCTGATATCTAGGCCATAGCATTAAATGTTTGAATGTAGTATAACTTACTCTTATTTATTACGTTGTAGAGGCTTTTTGGAAACGAACAACATCTAAAATTTTGACACAACAAATCAATCTCCAGTAATAGACAAGCACTAGTTTTAATTAAAATTCAAACTACAGCTTATGGGTACTGCTGGAGTGCTGGTACTGAATGTGTTGTGTCTGTTCCTGTTGATAATGTTTCATGAGATATTATAATAATCATAGTTTGGTAAAAGTTTGTAAACTTAGCATAAAATTATCATTTGTTGTACTACAAAATATTAACATAAACCATTAACTCTGATCAATTTTTACTCACAAAAGGAGCCTATAGCCTAACAAATAATCTTTTGCCACTTATTACAAAATTAGCCCAGATGAATTCTGATATATTTTGTTGACACCTCGCCTTGTATCACAACCTTATGTGGATCCTGCAAAGAAAGATTTAACGCATAAATTCCTTCATACTCCAGTAGTAAGCCTGGATTGAACCAACAGAAAAGTTGCTAGCTTGCAATTCCATTCCATCAGTAGTAAACTGTTTAAGCTGAAGTTATTTTATATAAATTATACATTTCGTTGAGCTAAATTAGAAAGCTATGTAAAACAGATTTTCATGGAAAAAAAGTTATTTGTTTTAGACCAAAATGTAAACTTTACTTTTATTTTATATTGCCCGTTGCCTGTCCAAAATTGAGGAATGCATAGCCAGTGGCCGCAACTTATCAGGGGGGGGGGCACTTTTAGAGGATTATTTTGATAAACTGATACAATTTTTATGGATGATAATAACCCTAATTCTTTCCAAATTGTTTGCACCCCCTTCCTTATCAGTGGCTAATCATGCCACTGCACTCAACCAAATGGTATAAAGACAATTGTTATGCTCATACAGTGTTTATACAATGAAATATAAACCAATGTAGGCCTAATCTAATACCTTACTTTAGCTGGGTCATTTAACTAAAGTTAATAAAATTTTACACATGATAGTACCTCCAGGTTTAGAAGTCTATGACCTCTCTATCAGCAGTAACGATTGTAAGGTTGGGGTGGAAGTGAAAACAGGTGTGCCTCAGGGCTCGATCTTGGGTCCATTATTGTTTCTTTTATCAATAAACGACTTACCAGCTAATGTTTTCTCAATATATTGGGCTTACGACCACCAGCTTTAGAACAAGAATTAACAATCACAGGACAGACATAAAAAACAACCATCCAGATAAACCAGTTGTTGTAGATTGAATGAATAAATGAAATTACCTTTAGTTAGGCTTTATTGAACATAGAATCTAGCATGATATAGAACTAACAATATGAAACAAACTAACATCATAGTAAACAAAAACAACTTCTAAACATTTGAACAGATGTTACAATGTACAGATAGAAAGGAATTATATGACATTCTTCCCCTCCTAGCTGACATAGTCTTTTAGATACAAAGGCGGGTGTTTACTTCTGGAGCTTCTCCTTAGAGCAATCTGGTCCTGATTCAGTCTTTCCTCGTCTTAGAAGATAGGCTCAGGTCCAACATCAACTTGAGAACTTCTTTCATTTATTTGTAGATTGCTGTTTGAGTCTTCTTCATGTCGTAGATTGGAGTTTGAGTCTTCTTCATGATGTGACACTTCTCCTACAGGTGCTAATTGCCTGGAACTCACTGTAGTTTCACGGCCATCTGCATATTTTATGTGAGAATACTCAGGATTACCCTCAAGGAGCAGTACTTCTTCAACGAGTGGTTCGTATTTCGAGCTCCTGACAGGCCGTTTCATGAGCACTGGACCTGGATTCATGAGCCAAGATGGAGTTGTCTTACCATTACTAGATCTTCTAGAAAAGAGAAATAGTCTTTCATGCGGTGTTGTATTTGTTGAAGTACACAATAACGACCGGATAGAGTGCAAAGCTTCTAAATATACTTTTTCCCAATCAGATATGTCCAGATTTTTACTTTTAAGTGATAGTTCGATTGTCTTCCAAATAATACCAACATACCTCTCAGCTTGTCCGTTGCCCTGAGGATTGTAAGCTCCGAGTCCAATGATACATTCGAGACACTCCTGGATGACATAAAGCGTCATGTAGTGATACAAGGTTTGATAAACTTCCTTCCATCAATGAACACACCCTGGATAAAGCATCTGCTGGTTTGTTCTCTTTTCCAGCTCTGTAAATAATCTCATACTTATAACAGGATAACTCAATTCTCCATTTCATTATTTTATCATTCTTGATTTTGCTTGCATTCCGATCACTGAACATGAATGCTACAGATCGTTGGTCTGTTATAAGGCGAAAGTGTCTGCCCATGAGATAGTGCCTCCATTTTCTTAACGCTTCAACTATTGCAAATGCTTCTTTCTCAATAGATGAATGTTTCTGTTCCGAGTTTGTTAGTGTTCTAGAGAAAAACGCTACTTGTCTACCATCAATAGTCAAAGCTGCTCCTATTATTATTTTTTTCATTTTTCATTATTTCTCAGTATTATTTTTCTTTGTCATCTTTTAGTTGTTAAAAATTCTATCTCAGTTATCAATAATTTACCCTGTGTATGTCTTTTGTTGGTCGTTTTCATGTTTACAATTAATTTAATGCAGCCAATCTCAATCTGTGATATTAATTTATAGCTACTGTGATATTATTCTGTGTATTAGTTTAAGAAGTCTGAACAATTTTATTTAGATCCTCAGAACTAAATTAAAATATTATAGCATGCCATGTTGTCTATTGTCAACTACAATATAGCCAAATTTAGGATGTAGTTATTTTTTGACAAAACCAATCACAATATTGTATTGCTTAAAGATGGAATAAATTACTATTTATTGACTATTAAACCAATGTAGGCCTAATCTAATACCTTACTTTAGCTGGGTCGTTTAACCAAAGTTAATAACATTTTACACATGATAGTACCTCCAGGTTTAGAAAAGTCTATGACCTCTCTATCAGCAGTAACGATTGTGAGGTTGCCAGCCACAAGTCCCTTGGAGGTTGACAATACTCGCAGCTCCCACAAAGAAGCTTGCAGTAGATCACATATGTCCAGCACTGCTGTGTTTACAGTTGTCTGGCTGCCAAACAGCTCTGTCCTCTCATAGTACAACTCTCTACACACAAATCCATCATATTAACAGAGTAAAGCCTGTAGCAGATCACATATGTCCAGCACTGCTGTGTTGACTGATGTCTGGCTGCCAAACAGCTCTGTCCTCTCATAGTACAACTCTCTACACACAAATGCATCATATTAACAGAGTAAAGCCTGTAGCAGATCACATATGTCCAGCACTGCTGTGTTGACTGATGTCTGGCTGCCAAACAGCTCTGTCCTCTCATAGTACAACTCTCTACATACAAATCCATTATATTAAAACAGTAAAGCATGTAGAAGATCACATATGTCCAGCACTGCTGTGTTTACAGTTGTCTGGCTGCCAAACAGCTCTGTCCTCTCATAGTACAACTCTCTACACACAAATCCATCATATTAACAGAGTAAAGCCTGTAGCAGATCACATATGTCCAGCACTGCTGTGTTGACTGATGTCTGGCTGCCAAACAGCTCTGTCCTCTCATAGTACAACTCTCTACACACAAATCCATCATATTAACAGAGTAAAGCCTGTAGCAGATCACATATGTCCAGCACTGCTGTGTTGACTGATGTCTGGCTGCCAAACAGCTCTGTCCTCTCATAGTACAACTCTCTACACACAAATCCATCATATTAACAGAGTAAAGCCTGTAGCAGATCACATATGTCCAGCATTGCTGTGTTTACAGTTGTCTGGCTGCCAAACAGCTCTGTCCTCTCATAGTACAACTCTCTACACACAAATCCATCATATTAACAGAGTAAAGCCTGTAGCAGATCACATATGTCCAGCACTGCTGTGTTGACTGATGTCTGGCTGCCAAACAGCTCTGTCCTCTCATAGTACAACTCTCTACACACAAATCCATCATATTAACAGAGTAAAGCCTGTAGCAGATCACATATGTCCAGCACTGCTGTGTTGACTGATGTCTGGCTGCCAAACAGCTCTGTCCTCTCATAGTACAACTCTCTACACACAAATCCATCATATTAACAGAGTAAAGCCTGTAGCAGATCACATATGTCCAGCACTGCTGTGTTGACTGATGTCTGGCTGCCAAACAGCTCTGTCCTCTCATAGTACAACTCTCTACATACAAATCCATTATATTAAAACAGTAAAGCATGTAGAAGATCACATATGTCCAGCACTGCTGTGTTTACAGTTGTCTGGCTGCCAAACAGCTCTGTCCTCTCATAGTACAACTCTCTACACACAAATCCATCATATTAACAGAGTAAAGCCTGTAGCAGATCACATATGTCCAGCACTGCTGTGTTGACTGATGTCTGGCTGCCAAACAGCTCTGTCCTCTCATAGTACAACTCTCTACATACAAATCCATTATATTAAAACAGTAAAGCATGTAGAAGATCACATATGTCCAGCACTGCTGTGTTTACAGTTGTCTGGCTGCCAAACAGCTCTGTCCTCTCATAGTACAACTCTCTACACACAAATCCATCATATTAACAGAGTAAAGCCTGTAGCAGATCACATATGTCCAGCACTGCTGTGTTGACTGATGTCTGGCTGCCAAACAGCTCTGTCCTCTCATAGTACAACTCTCTACATACAAATCCATTATATTAAAACAGTAAAGCATGTAGAAGATCACATATGTCCAGCACTGCTGTGTTTACAGTTGTCTGGCTGCCAAACAGCTCTGTCCTCTCATAGTACAACTCTCTACACACAAATCCATCATATTAACAGAGTAAAGCCTGTAGCAGATCACATATGTCCAGCATTGCTGTGTTGACTGATGTCTGGCTGCCAAACAGCTCTGTCCTCTCATAGTACAACTCTCTACATACAAATCCATTATATTAACACAGTAAAGCATGTAGAAGATCACATATGTCCAGCACTGCTGTGTTTACAGTTGTCTGGCTGCCAAACAGCTCTGTCCTCTCATAGTACAACTCTCTACACACAAATCCATCATATTAACAGAGTAAAGCCTGTAGCAGATCACATATGTCCAGCACTGCTGTGTTGACTGATGTCTGGCTGCCAAACAGCTCTGTCCTCTCATAGTACAACTCTCTACATACAAATCCATTATATTAAAACAGTAAAGCATGTAGAAGATCACATATGTCCAGCACTGCTGTGTTTACAGTTGTCTGGCTGCCAAACAGCTCTGTCCTCTCATAGTACAACTCTCTACACACAAATCCATCATATTAACAGAGTAAAGCCTGTAGCAGATCACATATGTCCAGCATTGCTGTGTTGACTGATGTCTGGCTGCCAAACAGCTCTGTCCTCTCATAGTACAACTCTCTACATACAAATCCATCATATTAACACAGTAAAGCATGTAGAAGATCACATATGTCCAGCACAGCTGTGTTGACTGATGTCTGGCTGCCAAACAGCTCTGTCCTCTCATAGTACAACTCTCTACATACAAATCCATCATATTAACACAGTAAAGCATGTAGAAGATCACATATGTCCAGCACTGCTGTGTTGACTGATGTCTGGCTGCCAAACAGCTCTGTCCTCTCATAGTACAACTCTCTACACACAAATCCATCATATTAACAGAGTAAAGCCTGTAGCAGATCACATATGTCCAGCACTGCTGTGTTGACTGATGTCTGGCTGCCAAACAGCTCTGTCCTCTCATAGTACAACTCTCTACATACAAATCCATTATATTAACACAGTAAAGCATGTAGAAGATCACATATGTCCAGCACTGCTGTGTTTACAGTTGTCTGGCTGCCAAACAGCTCTGTCCTCTCATAGTACAACTCTCTACACACAAATCCATCATATTAACATAGAAAAACATGTAGCAGATCACATATGTCCAGCATTGCTGTGTTGACTGATGTCTGGCTGCCAAACAGCTCTGTCCTCTCATAGTACAACTCTCTACATACAAATCCATCATATTAACACAGTAAAGCATGTAGAAGATCACATATGTCCAGCACTGCTGTGTTGACTGATGTCTGGCTGCCAAACTGCTCTGTCCTCTCATAGTACAACTCTCTACATACAAATCCATTATATTAACACAGTAAAGCATGTAGAAGATCACATATGTCCAGCACTGCTGTGTTTACAGTTGTCTGGCTGCCAAACAGCTCTGTCCTCTCATAGTACAACTCTCTACACACAAATCCATCATATTAACATAGAAAAACATGTAGCAGATCACATATGTCCAGCATTGCTGTGTTGACTGATGTCTGGCTGCCAAACAGCTCTGTCCTCTCATAGTACAACTCTCTACATACAAATCCATCATATTAACACAGTAAAGCATGTAGAAGATCACATATGTCCAGCACTGCTGTGTTGACTGATGTCTGGCTGCCAAACTGCTCTGTCCTCTCATAGTACAACTCTCTACATACAAATCCATTATATTAACACAGTAAAGCGTGTAGAAGATCACATATGTCCAGCACTGCTGTGTTGACTGATGTCTGGCTGCCAAACAGCTCTGTCCTCTCATAGTACAACTCTCTACATACAAATCCATTATATTAACACAGTAAAGCGTGTAGAAGATCACATATGTCCAGCACTGCTGTGTTGACTGATGTCTGGCTGCCAAACAGCTCTGTCCTCTCATAGTACAACTCTCTACATACAAATCCATTATATTAACACAGTAAAGCATGTAGAAGATCACATATGTCCAGCACTGCTGTGTTGACTGATGTCTGGCTGCCAAACAGCTCTGTCCTCTCATAGTACAACTCTCTACATACAAATCCATCATATTAACACAGTAAAGCATGTAGAAGATCACATATGTCCAGCACTGCTGTGTTGACTGATGTCTGGCTGCCAAACAGCTCTGTCCTCTCATAGTACAACTCTCTACATACAAATCCATTATATTAACACAGTAAAGCATGTAGAAGATCACATATGTCCAGCACTGCTGTGTTGACTGATGTCTGGCTGCCAAACAGCTCTGTCCTCTCATAGTACAACTCTCTACATACAAATCCATCATATTAACATAGAAAAACATGTAGCAGATCACATATGTCCAGCACTGCTGTGTTTACAGTTGTCTGGCTGCCAAACAGCTCTGTCCTCTCATAGTACAACTCTCTACATACAAATCCATCATATTAACACAGTAAAGCATGTAGAAGATCACATATGTCCAGCACTGCTGTGTTGACTGATGTCTGGCTGCCAAACTGCTCTGTCCTCTCATAGTACAACTCTCTACATACAAATCCATTATATTAACACAGTAAAGCGTGTAGAAGATCACATATGTCCAGCACTGCTGTGTTGACTGATGTCTGGCTGCCAAACAGCTCTGTCCTCTCATAGTACAACTCTCTACATACAAATCCATCATATTAACACAGTAAAGCATGTAGAAGATCACATATGTCCAGCACTGCTGTGTTGACTGATGTCTGGCTGCCAAACTGCTCTGTCCTCTCATAGTACAACTCTCTACATACAAATCCATTATATTAACACAGTAAAGCGTGTAGAAGATCACATATGTCCAGCACTGCTGTGTTGACTGATGTCTGGCTGCCAAACAGCTCTGTCCTCTCATAGTACAACTCTCTACACAAAAATCCATCATAACACAGTTAAAGGCTGATTACAGATATCTACCACTGCTGTGTTGACAGATGTCTGGCTGCAAGCAAAGCATTCCCTACCGCTTCTCTAGTACGACTATAGTATTGAAAGCTCTGGCAAAAGTTAGTTTAGTTGGAACTAGGACAAGATCACACAAGAGGATCCTAAAACACACAAGAGTTCCTGAAAATACACAAAGAGCATCATCATCTGACCATTTCTGCTGCTGTACTTCTGCCCACCTAGCAACCTGACGGAGGCACGAGGCACCGAAACAAAAAACTTCCCCTACAAATTTACCCTAATGGATTCGAGAAGAAGTTCTCAACCGCGCTCCCAAGAGAGTTGGCAGGTGTACTTACTCCCATAAGATAAGATTTAATGTTTTTGCTGTACCAGTGGAAATTATTTCACAAAACTGCATCGGACTCTGCTTCTGTCAAGTGTGCTACAGTAGAACCTCGATAATTCGAAAACCTTTATAATTAGAAATGTTTGTCTGTTCCCCTCTGAAATTCGGAAAATAATATACCGATAATTGGAAGTGATTTGTACACTGAATGCAGCCTCTACAATTCGAATTTGCACATACTTGAGCCTCTACAATTCAAATTTTGTTGCCATAATTTGAATTGTTACCTCCAAAATTTGAAGTCAACCTCTGCAATTCGAACTGCATTACCGCAAGCCTATGTAATTTGAATTTAGAACAAAAAATATGCATGTTCAAACATGAACTGACGCTCTTATTGATGTGTCCACAATGTGTTCATTAGTCTCCATTCTCTCAAACTCTCTACACTTAAAACTGGGACCTCCATAATTCAAATTTTATTTATTCTGACCTCTATAATTCAAACTCTCTATATTTCAAACTTCCTATAGTTCAAAATATATTGGCTTTCCTCTGAAATTCAAATTAGCGAGGTTCTACTGTACTAGCTTTAAGCTTGCTACAGATCAACGATTACAGAACTCTATACAAACAAAAATACATCATATTAACACAGTAAAGCACAGATGTTGGCCATCTATTTTGACCTTGCATTTGCCTGTCCAAATAGGCAAGGAGTAAGGTGGTACAGTACCAGAGTGATCAATACCGATGATGTTTAGTGACGGCCACCACGATCTGAACCCACAACATAACTGTTGTGACTCCTGCCCTAACAACTATTTTAAAAAATCCTTTTATTTTTCTTTATCTTCCTTTGCATCCAGAGCCTGTATCATGTAGGCTGGTTAGTTTAGTTAGTTTCTTTAGAATTTTGCAACTTTCTCCACAACAAAATATCTACTAAAAATTAATTGAAGCTTTGATTTTTTGGATAATAGAAAAGCCAATTTACTAATATGTGAGCTTTTCCTCTGTACTTTTCTTAACTTACTTGCTGAGATTAGCATACATACAACATAGAGCATTGCTTATAGCTTAAGGTGAGGATGAGGAAAGGGTGAATAAATAACAAATTACGTACCAGTAAAGTTTTGGTAATAACTGAGACCAGCAACAATTTTTATTTAAAGCTCAATGATCTGGGACCCCTTGATTCTATCGGTTTTTTCTTTCTATACCAGTGGCATTTTGATTCAAGTCAATGAGAGATTAAACGCTTAAAAAGGAAAGCAGACTGAGCCCATGTTGTTTTGTGGATGTGCCGGGAATTGAACCCAACCCCCTTGTACCGAAATAAAACACTTAGGCCTAAACAAAAATCTATGAGGACGGTCTAATTTGTTTTGATGTTAATTACTGATAACAGTGATAACCTGGGTTAAAGATCAGTGGACCTCAGTGGGTACAGTTTAAAATGTTTAGCTCTTAAAAAGAAAAAAATACCTCTTAGTCACCGAACTTCTTGACAAAAGCAAACGATGAATTGAACGCAAGAGGCAGCATATTATCACAAATCTTCTTTCGTGACTTGTAAATTTAATATGTTGACAAGATGTTTCATTCCTCGGTTTTAACGATAATCTGAAATCAAATAAGTAATGAACAAGAAGTCAAGTAGCTCCTGTCAACTAATAGTTTTAATTGAAACATTGGGTTTAGCGTTTTAATTGTCACAAGCCTTAAGCCAAGGTAAGTACATTCCTCTAAGGCATATAATCAAGTGTCCGTCAACTCTTATGCCTTACACACTAACAATTTAATTTTTCCCACTAAAATAATAGCAGGTATTGGTAGGGTTCCCGGCCCAGAGACTTCAATCAAAAAAAGAGGACAGTTAATTATGACTAGCGGAACTTACCGGTGAGGAGGTCCTCAGAATTTTTTTTAATAAGAATTAATTACTCTTATGCGTTCTAAGGGCTTTTAAGAGAAGAGTATTCTTACATACTGTTGGCATCCTTGATGACTGTTTAAGATCATGATTAGACCGTTTTAATAAACATCAACTAAAAGAAGCTGTATATATGCAAAAGTCTGAAAACTTTGATGTAAGTTACCAGGAATGAAGACAAAATGTGTTCATGGTCCTCAGAATCAAGCGTTGGTGCAGTTATTCGTACTGGGTACAGGGGTAAGGGGTCTGTTAAAGGGTAGTGTTGGAGAAGTAATATTTCTCAACTAGTCTTTATATCATCCCCTGATGATCAAGTATTTAAAATTGACTTGTTTACTTATTTGAGTGTTTTTGGTTTGATGTAATTGTTTTAAAAATGTATTAATAATTTTTCCTTGTTCAATATAAAACGTTTTCATGTATTTATGGGCTATTACATTCACTTTTAGATAGGTACTAAAACTTTCTACATTTTGGATTTTCTTAAAAATCGACTGACAATTTCTAAAAACGTATAGCCTATAGGCTATTGTAAGTTTTAGAAATTTTAAACTAGAATTTTCAATTTGGGAGCTTATATTTTTGTATAGGCTTATATAATTTTAAAATATTTGCTTTTAATTTTGATTTAGGCATGCTTATACCACAGACTTACTCTGTAATCTGTGCTTGTTTCCTAATAAAACGTTGAAATTTAAAGGTTAATTTAACAAAATGCTAGACAGTGTAACCATGGTGAAAAAAACTTCTTGATTCTATATCCTTCGCAAAGAATATTCATTTTGTCAATTATTCTTATTGTTTCAGGCCTACAATATGTTTTATTGTAGGCCTATAGTATTATAAAATTTGAAGCTAACCACGGTCAAAGATAAAGAAGACAAGTATCCAAGTAAGATAATAGACCTAACTTAGCAAATAGCTGTACCTTTCATTGAATTCAGAGTCTTTCCATTGAAATCTCCGGTTCACTTTTATGGATGGTATTTCATCGTTCGCTGCACATTTCACAGTTTTCAAAATGAAGTTTTGAATCTTAAGTATTAGCTCCTCTCTGTAAATAAAAACATATAAGAAGACTAAATCACATAAAATAATCTTATTAAAACTTAACTAATATCCCTATTTTAATTTTAATAAACCTACAGACTAAGTGAATATCCATTTGCCTCATCAGATTTACAATAAACTATTTTCTTAAACATTTCAGATGTATCCCATTAAAATTAAATGAAGTTTAACGGATTAAGCTTGCGTACGGGATTTTAGCATAAAATTATTTTGCCAAATTTTGTCAAATTATATCTAATTTTGAAAAAAGACCCTAATTTTTAAAAGTTAAAAACTTATTGGGTAGGTAATCTTGTTTATCCCGATCCCAATCTGACTCCCATTCAGTGGCTTTTCTAGGACCTTGTTAAAGGGGAGCGGGGGTTTCCACACCAGGAGAGGGGTGAGGTGAGGGGATCCTCTCCCCCAACTTGCTATTTTAGCGAATCTCCCATGATAGGGAATAAGCTATTACCGCAGTACTCATGGTAAGACCTGGACTCGGGACCGACTTACTTTTTTGTTTTGAGGTCCCAAGAGGCAAAAAACACCATCCGTTCAAATCAACAATCACATAAGACCAATTATCGGTATAACAATGCTTATTGGTAAAACTTATTGTTATAACGACCAACTTATTGGGCTTATGTGATTGTTGGTTCAAATTCATATATAGCCTATATGTGTCTTTTAGCACAATAACTCGAGCAAAGATGATCCTATTTTTATAAAATTTGGTACAAACGTGTAAACCTAAATTTATTGGAACGAGTTCGCGAAGCAGCATGATCGGACTATGGAAACGGGAGTTTATGGGGTAAAAAAAACACAAACCATATTGTAGAGCTAAAGAAAAACAAATAATTTAGAATATTGAAGAGTTAAATGCGCCTAATGGTTACGGAGAAAATTCAAAAATATTGTAAATTTAAAATCCCCATGTTATTCTTAAGGAGAATAAGTCAACTGTTGCAGTTTGCTTGTTAATAAACATATTTTGATCAAATTTGGAAATAATACATTCATTTCTTACTAAACTAAACTAAAGATTTTACAACAAAAACACTTTTTTACCCTTCCTGTTGCAGCAATCCTAAGTACTTGTTAAACTAATTCTATTTAAATAGAAATAAATGTGATATTTGTAAGGAGACATTTTAGTGTAAATCCAATTAGGCAAATGGAAATTCGCTTAGTCTGCAGGTTTGCTGCGGCGGGGGTATTTAAAGCTTCTGGTTATTGACTTTTTAAATGTTTAGTGTTTAACTGTGTCGAAAACCCTCCGTGACATTTTGATGACAAAATGTAGGCCTATGTTTAAATTTATATTTTCAGGCTCCAATGGGGGGAAGGGTTTAGCCACTAAGTGATAGCCCCCCTCCTTGGAACCACTACTGCTCCCATTAGGCCTACCTGATCTTGCTGGTTCGTGAACTCATTCATACCAAATTTAATCCAAATCAGATTACAATTGCTCAAGCTAACAGGTTCACTGACAAATATCGTAAACTATAGGCTAAACTTATACATGTGTGGTACCTATGTATGTATATGTACAGTTACATAGGGCATTAACATGACATTTGTACAAAATGGAACATTAAAATCGTACAGGGTTTAGGTCTTATCTATGGTCCACCTACAGTTAAGCTACTTTCTCCCTATAGAGGGGAAATTCATGAAAACAAAACATAATAAATTAAGCATCCAGATAAACAATCAAAAGATTAAACTTACTAGGACCCACATCCTAAGTAGGGTGAAACTTTGATATCCGACTCCATCAAAACATCAAACAATACCTATTAAGTTATTCTATCAAGTAACTAATCTTTAAACTAGATCCAAAACCTACACTTTTTAAGTTACCGTACCTAACTTTTGGTTTGTAACGATCAATAATACAATGGGTGTGGATAGGCTAGATCAAAGTTTATCCATTTAGCCTACTTAAATAGTTCCAAATATTGTTTCAGTACGGTAGGTAACTTAACTTATCCATGAAATGTTTTGTTTTTAAAACCCTGAAACCATAGGGTACGATAGCCAATTGGCAGACAGACTATGCAGTTTTTAACTTTATGCAGTTTTTTCTGGGCAGGGGCAAATTAAAGAATTAGAAATTATCAGTTTAGACGGTTTTATTGATAATCTTAACTTAAGTTGGCAATACCTTCTAGAAGCAGAATTATCAAGTAGAACTGACTGAAACGCCACCCTTTGAATCTCTGTTTCTTTTCTGATTCGGTCCAGAGAAGCATTGAACTCTTCTTTTTGTCTTCTACAAGACATTTTCAATTCCCTGTTGTAGTGTAGTAGGACAAAAGATTTATCAGGTATCCTAAGACAAATACAACTAGGGTTAACCTTACCTAACTAACCAAACGATATATCGAACAATCAATATATCGATTGATATTTTCATTCGGTTGTTTGTGCCAACAGATATGGAAGTGTACCCACAACTAGGCTAGACTAACTGTTATCCATAGAGATATTAGGCCTAGCAACCTCTCAGTTGTTTTAAGTTAAAAGTTTAAAGCCTTGACCATAAAATTGCAGGTTTTACATAGTAAAATACTACATTCAGTGTTAAATATTACACAGCAATTACTTCAAACAAATAACTTAATTTGGCCTAGGCCTAGGCTATTAGGTAACGTGCATATTCATTCATTCCTAACCAACGCCTAAGTTAAGTTTACAGTAAACAATTAAAACATAACCTACAACTTCAACAACGCTTCCAATTATTCCAATTTCCAAGTTCGGAAGTTGAAAATAGACATCCAACTAGTAGAATGGTAGAACGGTAGAACTAACTGACAGTGACAGACAACTTGAACTTGAATATAACCCAACACAACACAACAATAACGATGAAACGATGAACAAAAAACTAACTTAAGCAACAATGGTAAGGTTAGTAGGTAATGTAGTGGAATTGGAATGGAATAGTTAGTGGAATGGAATGGAAATTGAAATGGGATGTAATGTTGCCAACACAATCATAAGAATGCTTTAACACGTTCATGCGACGCCGCGGTCATTGCCACAGACCGAGGTATACATTTGAATCTTACACATAGACCGACTGTCACTTGGATAACAGTACACACAGACCACGGGCGAAAACATGTAAAACAGTGATCATTTACATTGTAATACGCTACAATCGTGTTTGTAAATAAATTATTCTTGTTTATTTGTATTTTTTATAACCTTTTGTAATGTCGCATATTTGCGACGCCCGGTCTACAGCGAAGACAATAGTGAAAATTATTATAGTTTTCTTGAAATAGACTAAACGTCGCATATATGCGACAGTTCATTTTTTTGTGTTTTAAGGTGAAAGTAAGTAAAGAAATAAACAGATTATTCAAGAACAGTTTATAACTGAACAAATATAAAAGCTACATAGGATAATGCAGCATACATACTGCATACATACACACAGTGATGCAGAAAAGAAGACCAGTTTTTCCAACTATTATATGACGTAACCAATCATCATATCCACAGACCAAGCGACGCAGTTGTGCGTCAGACATCTCTGTAGACCACTGCAGGTAAATCAGTGCCTTCAAATAGACCACAACAAAGATATAAGCATTTTAATAACATGAGAACCCCGACGCAAATATGCGTCGGCAGTCTATTTTAATGTGACTAGCCGTCGCACATATGCGACGGCAGTCTATGGGTGGAAACCGGCCGTCGCATATGTGCGTCGCTGGTCCATGTGAATGGAAAATTTCGTACTATTGCAGTAGCGAACGTGTTAATACCATTTCATTGTTAATACTGAAGCGTGTTATTAAACTTAATATCATTGACTATATAACACTACATCCTAATATAAATATAAATAGTGTTATATAGTCAATGGTAATATTCCCTAGATGGGAAGTTCGCTAAGACAAACCCTGCGTACTAAGAAAACTTCAAGTTGCCTTTTAGAACTTATAGAACAATCCGTTCAACAAATTACGCAACGACCCACATTAAGAATATTGTTTTGGATCATTTTAGGTTAACTGGTGCACAAAACACGATAAAAAAACGTAAAATTCCCTTTTAGTGCAGTAAAAATAAGCGAAAAATTCCATAAACCTAAAAAAGTTAGCTTTTGAACATACTAAAAGTCCCCTAAAATTGAAGCTGTGCTACGGCCGCCATATTGGAAAATAGCGGCATATATCCTGTATTTTTGGCTATAGTGATTTTATTATTAGAGATACAGGAAAAGGCTAAATATACAAAATGTAGTCCATCAAAAAATAAAAATGTTTAGCGAATTTCCCCTATAGGGAATAAGCTATTACCGTAGTACTCATGATGAGACCTGGACCCGGGACCGATTTATTTTTTCGTTTTGAGGTCCCTAGAGACCAAAAACACCCTCCGTTCAAATTCACACACATATATATATATATATATATATATATTTAAAACATTCGCCAATTAGGTCTGATGATGATTGGAGTGTCCAATCGAAATCGATCACCACTTACCATCTTAATTTTTGTATTGTACCGTCTTGTGAGTAACAGTATGAGCGTAAATATATGTTTTAAGTGTTATAAGACGTTTCTTTTATTTACTTTCCGTGAATTTAATAACACATACAATGCTGATCAAGAAGTTATTTATTTTATACAAAATGTTTGATATTTTACTAAAAAAACACACTATACTACCCTCGCTGTAGCAACAAATCTAGGTAGGCCTACCTGTCAAACCTAATTTTAATTGTATACATTTAATCAAACATACAATCAAATGAATATTTGTGGACTTGTTTTACTCATAAAATAAAGTTAAATTTTAATATTTTATAGTATCACACTACTTAACTAAATGGGATGAATTATCGCGTTAACCTTGAAAGTAACCGTTGATTTCCATGGGTTTCGCCTATCTATATCTATAAAAGAGGAACTATGTATGTGTGTGTGTGTATACAGGGTGACAAAAAAGTCTGGAAACGGCTTGATATCTTTTTAACTAAATTCGTAAGAAAATTCATACCTTTCACATCAACTTATATGTATGAAAACTACTTTTTGCAAGAATTACCATTGTTTTACCTTCACCAAGGGACGGCCCATGAGGAGTAGGTACACAATCTTTAATGTAAGCATAGGTTGATATGCACATCATTTTAAAGGTCTGGTCAAGTGGAGTTCATTGCCGGAAACCACATCAAAAAAGGTGCATTCGTTACAAAATGGCGGCATTTCAAAGTTCTTGCGGAATATACCTGCACAGGCCTTAGTAATGGTAAATACTCATAGTCAAAATTAGCCAGGAAATCTGAAACCCGGTTAAATTTGTTTTGAAGATTGAATAAACTTAGTCTATGGTCTATTTGACTTTAAAATACAGTTTCAGCTCTCAAGATAATGTTAAATACGAGTATTTACCAATATTAAGGCTTGTAAAGGTATATTCCACAAGAACTTTGGACAGCCGCCATTTTGTAACAGATGAACCTTTTGAGATGCGATTTCCGGCATTGAACTCCACTTGACCAGACCTTTAAAATGATGTGCATATCAACCTATGCTTATATTAAAGATTATGTACCTACTCCTCATGGGCCGTCCCCTGGTGAAGGTAAAAAAATGGTAATTCTTGCAAAAAGTAGTTTTCATACATATAAGTTGATGTGAAAAGTTTGACTTTTCTAACGGATTTTGTTAAAAAGATATTAAGCCGTTTCCAGACTTTTTTGTCACCCTGTATATATATGTATATACGTTATGGACTCCGAAACCGCTCGACAGATTGTAATGAAACTTTCAGGCATTATTAAGCATCTTTCAAGGATGGTTCGAGTGAAGTTTGGTGTAGATCTATCAAAAGGGCTCTGCCCCAGAGGGTTTTAAGTAGGCCAATGTCAGACTTTTTGATCTACAATGTTTACAAATAAATATAATTTAAAAGCAGGATGTTTACTTTCACCAAAGATTACATATGCTAGCGCAAAATCTTTAAATCTAAAACATTACACCACCTTGAAATTGTACTTGTATCTGGAAGGGACATTTTTTTGTCATCTCGTAAGCTGTTGTACAGCGCCGGTGACCGGTAGTGCATTTCTATTGACAGTCGTTTCTCTTCTTCACTCCAGCTAGTTCGCTTTTTGTGGAACATTTCCATTCTCAAAAGAGTCTTCAACGCATCGCTTTTTATATATTGACTGGCAGCTAAGAAAGCAGCTTCTTTTGACATGGGCTTTAGTTTTTCTCTTCGATAACGCTGTTTCAGGCGATGAAGGTTTTTCTTTTTGTCAATCAAATTTTTTTTAAGTCAAACTTCCCTCCGGGTTTCAAGTGAGTTGCAAGCTGTCAAAGTCGGTGTTAAATTGTCATGTAGTGGTATAGTTGTGTCTCCGTATACTGGTGAATTATATGTGGTTTCTGTGGGTGTTTGAGGAAATTGAAAACCTACAACATTGACTGTAGACGTATCACTAGATGATGGACCAGCTACGGCGAGACAGTGGTGATCGTCTGTAGAGGCGGTAGTTAGAGCAGACTGCTGTGTAACAACCGGTGTATATTCATAGTCCATAACCAGTCGTGTTGGCACAGCATCCTTAATTAGTTGATTTCTTATATTATTTGTGTAGCAGTCAGTTTCAAAATGGAGTTCACACACTAAACGTGAATGCAATGCTGTGTCAGGAAGGTCTTTAAGTTTTTCGTTTGCTGTGTTTGCTACCCACTTAATACAAACACTCTTATTTTTAATAGGAAATTTGAAAAATCTTAAATTTGGACTGTTAATGCGATTAGACAGACAACCAATAAAAAAGCACTCTTAATACCTGGCATTGTTCAAGAAAATATACACATCATGACACAATCGTAATTAACCAGACACGTTCTTCACTCTGCTAATTTATCTAGTAAACTTCTAGCTTCAAAAATCTTCTAGAATGAAAAAGCACAATAGCACAAATAAAGGTTAACCATAACACAATAAACAATAACAAAAAATACGTAAATATATAGCAGCTGGTCATGTCGGCAATTAAGTCTAAGGTTGTAAAAACATTCGCTAGGCCTCGCATGGAATTTGATATCACAAAAATGGCTTGGCTGCAATATCTATTTTGCGCTAGCATATGTAATCTTTGCTTTCACCAACTGTTTTGTAGGTTTGAATAATTACAACATTCTGTATTAGCATTAGTCATGATTTGAAATAGTGCCACAGTGTTTCTACAGAGTGCAGCACAGAAAACTATTTTACTTTTGAATAAGTCCAAATACCCCAATCGCAGCACACCTGTGCACTTAACAACGTTTAAATTCTCCAATGTTAAATATTAAAACATAAAAACCTTTATACGTAGCGAACGAACTTCAACCGGGACGTGATTGAGCCATGCGAATACTTATGAAATTAAACGGGGCAAAGCTCGTGGGTACAGCTAGTTTTTGATAAATAGAAAACTAAATATACTTTATGACAAAAACTCAAAAACCGTTGGATTCAGAGAAAGATTATAAATACAAAAAATGTGTATTTTTAGATTGAATACAATTTGTATCCTGTATCTCTAATAATAAAGTCACTTTAGCCAAAAATACAGATATATGCCTCCATTTTCCAATATGGCGGCCGTAGCACAGCTTCAATTTTAGGGGACTTTTAATATGTTCAAAAGGAAGGTACACCCAACATTTGTAACAAATTCTTTGGTTGTGCTTTTTTATCAAAACATATTTTTATTGTACTGTTTGTAAAATACCTATACAGTTTTCTGAATCT